CAAAGGATTGTTAAGGAAAAGATGTGGGGGGCAGGGACTGAAAAGTCCTATTGGAACTGAGAAGCCATAACCCACGTTGGAAGTGAAAGAGGAGGTCCAGGACGGTTCAAAGTTGGAGTCTGAGTTTGGGAGGTATACCAAAGAAATTCGGCAAGAGGAATGCGTGTCAGCAGCAAGATGGTATTTTGGGGACCGTTTAAGAAATAGTAGCTAGAAGCCATGTTAGTAATTAAAAGCACAGAAAGTTGTTCTAAAACCCAAAACTGTGCATGAAGACGGGTTATGCACATGGGCCCGGAGCAGTCGGATACAGAGCTCATCACAACACAATTCAGATGAAGCTCACTTCTGATCCGTCTAAACCAAGTGACTTTAAACATTTGAATAACATGCGGCTGCCTTAGATTTCATCTCCCACTCGCCTTAGCTCCCCTTCTCAACCCACTATAATCTGCCCTGTGCTCCCGGCACTTAGCTGAAATCACAGGGCAAAGGTTTTCCCATTGCAAATCCAAAGAGCACTTAAACATTATTTTTATCAAAGTTGTATTTTGTTATAAAAGTCGAACAGTTGCACAAAGCATGTAATGTAAAGAACCAGTTTCCAACCCCATGTCTCCCTATTTCCAATTTTTATTTCAGAAAGGCAATTATAGTCATCTCTTTTAGAAGCTTCTTCTGGGTCCATAATAGGATTATGCCTATTGTTCCTTCATTTTGTGTGTGTGTGTGTTCTCATTGTGTTCGATATTTTCCATTTGTCCCTTGGATCTGCCCTATACCTGCTTCCTTGCTCTCTGCTCAGGGAAACTCACCTGTATGAACCACATCAATGGGTTTACGAATGGTCCCTTTGGCTTTCAGTTGAGTTTGTGTGGGGGGAAGACCTGAAGAAGAGATAGGAGGGAGAGCGGAAGAGGGAGAGCGGAAGGGGGAGAGGGGGAGGGAGAGAGGGAGGGAGATCATCCTTGATGATCTACAGTCTCTGGCTGTGTTTTCAACTGGAGGTCACTGCTTCTCTCACGGAGGGCTACTCTACTTGACCCTCATTCTAAACTGTGGTCCCCATGCACTCCATTGGTACCCCTTTGGGCCTATGGTCGGTGACTGCAATTGCTACTAAGTCTTGGGTCACCACACCATCTCTTGTAATGCCCCTACTCCTGCACCTTTATAAATTGCCCCCCTGGACAATAAACCCTCCTCAGATTATCCCATTTACAGTGTACTACTATGTCCTGTTGTACCCCTTCTTGGCACGCTTACTCTGAAAGATAAAGATTTAGCTTTCTTACTCCCGCTTCCTTGTTCTACTCTATACATAAACACACACACACACACACACACAGAGTTCTTGCTGTGGGCTGAATGTTTGTCCCTCCCACCCCAATTGTGTTGCTTTTTGGAGGTAGGGAGGTTGCTTTTTGGGAAGGTAATTAGGTTTAGATGAAGTCATGACCTCATGACAGGATTAGTGCCCTTATGAGAAGAGATGCCCAAAAGTGTTCTTTTTCTCTCCTAGAGAAGAGAGGAGGCCTAATGAGTCAGAATGTGGCATTCACTCAACCCTCTCATTTTCGGTATGCTTCCCTTGCCCTCAGGTGTTCCTGGTGCCCCCAAGCCTGGGGCCCCTCCACTAGGAAATGTCTAGCCTTCTGCCAGGGCAAGGAAGTGGCAATCTCCCAGCCACACTGAATGTAGGAGAGGATCTGGCTTTATAATTGCTCCCTTGAAATTTTTCACCTAGGTCTTTTTTTTTTTAGATCAATTATACTTCTACCTTCAGAGGTACCTGGCATCTCCAATTCCCATACTTTTTGAGGCAGTTATACAAATTCTCCTTCTTCTAGGTTGCTCCATTTCAGCTCGGTCCAGCTTAGTTTTTGCCTTGCTCTAATGGAGCAGGTTACCACTCCTCCGCCGGCTCTCCATTGTGTATCACTGTGTTGCTGTCATCCAGTGCCCCACGAACTCTGTGCCTGCAAGGCTGTGTTCTTTTTAGATCCACCGACTTTCATGTTAGTGCACTTATATTACAAAGTGGTCTTAATTACATGGGTCCAGCCCACCATTTCGAACGAGTCCTTTCTTGTTCTCAATTTGCTTTACTTTGCCGCCGCATTTGAAACTCTAGCCCACTCATTCTAGAAACTTTATCATCCTTTGGTGTCTGTGACCATAGCTTTTTTTTTTTTCTTTCGCCATATCATCTCAACTCCTTTCCTGGGTTCTTTCTTCTTCCACTGCTTTTCCCTTAAATGAGGCTGTTTCCCAGGTTTCTGTCCTCTTATGTTTTCATTTACACATTTTCTATAAACAACCTCATCCACTTGCACAGATTTAACCACTTCCTTAATGTTGTTGAGCCCCAAATCTATGTGGTTCCAAACTCTCATAAAGCTCTGAAACCAGACAGAGGAAAAGAGGACCCTGTTTCCTTATATCTGAATCAGGAAAAACAAATATATACCACATCTAAATATTTAGAAGCCTCACTAAAAATCTGAGTTTAAAATTTGAAGAGGAGGCATTTCATAGCCCTATTGTTTATATTTATCTTGATCATTCTCCCTCCCCAACTTCAAGCATGATAGCAAGCCTGCAAGGGGAAAACAGTTATAAAATATTGCCCTGAAAGAGTCACATAAGTTTATATTCATGCATGTGTGCATGTGGGAATTAAGTATGCATGTGCACTTTTCATGTGGGATGTGGGACAGCCAGTCTTGTCGTCTACAGGTATGTTTGTGGACAGGTAAATGTGAGCTTCATAGAGCATGAAATTGAGGACAGGAATTTTGAGTTCAAATTGATAGCTCCTCCCTTACATTTTTTATCTTGCTTCCATGAGATACTATATCTTTCCCAGTGATGGGCACTTTCCAATGTGTAGGTTAACTCATTAGAAATCAAGTGCCACGGAGCTGACGATAAAGAGTAGTATTGAGTGGCTGATGGACAGGGATGCAAAGGATCCAAAAGATCCTGACTCAGGATTGATTTAGGATTTCTCAGGTAATTTTTATATCAAAGGTGTTCTGCAGTTCCTGTCTTTATCTAAAGTAGCACTCCCATTTTCCCCATCGTTTTTATCTGTGTTTACTTTATTTATTTTATGTGTAATGTCTCGCAAGCAAATTGTGTGTACATTTCAGTTTCTCCTATTTTCTGTGGCAGAATGGAATATTCGTAAATCATACAGCAAACACATTACACCAAGCCCCAACGAACAACTACTTATCGGGTTTGTGACATCTCACTAATTGGCTTAAGCAAGTCACGTGGCCAAACCCATAGTCAATGAGGGACAGGTCTCCATAAAAGAATGAATACCATGAGGTACGATTCACTGGGACCACAACTGTTACAATCTGCCACCAAAACCTAGTTAGGAAATGGTTGATCCAGTTACCAAACTCTCAGCAATCTGTTTCTGGAGCCCACACACAAAGCTGGCGTCCTAGAAACTGTTGGAGATGGGTTCTTAGTGAGGAGCTTTTCCAAACCTTTCTTCCCAGGACCCCACTCCTAACCCAATGAGTCAGAATTTCTTGTGGGTAAGAGATATGGGGGAAAGGGTGGCACTGATACCGAGAACTCAAGATTGAAATAACTGTGCAGGGAATTCCAGCACACACTGGGGCTACAGAGGGTTTCAAAAACAAGAAAGACAAGACACCGTCTCTACACTCCAAGAACCTACAGTTTCCATAGAATGCATCTTTAATTGTCATTACTACACCAGAGGCCTTGAGATTTAAACAAGAAAACTGCTCTCTGTGTCTGTGTAAGTTAGAGCAGTGGTGTCCTAGCTTTTGTGTGCATCAGTATTGCCTGGAGGGCCTGTGAAAACACACATGCTGGGGCCCAACCCGCAGTTTCTGCTTCAGGAGGTCTGGGTGGAGCACACGATTGTGCAGCTTTAACGAGCTCTGCTGTGCGGGGACCATACTTGGAGAACCACTGAGAGCAGGGGGATTTCGTGACAGCATTCCTCCCTCTACTCACATTTATATATTGCACTTATGTGTTTATAGCACGTCTACTACATACAAGGGCTTGGGTTGGCTGCAGGTGCAGATATGATAAGGATGGATCTGGACCTTGATCACACTTGAGCAGATTTAGTCTCTAAGTGGATCTATGCTCCAAGACAGGTTCAGATGAAGAGAGAAAGGAAAGCTTGGAGTAGACGACTCTGAGGTGAGGTCCTGGAAGCTGCCTAGGACCTGGACATTTGGAAGTTGTGGGGGATCGCGAAATTCTTTGTTTTGGCATAGAGAAAACAAACAAACTGTGACAAACACCCAGAAAAGATTTGTGACATTCTTGCCTCCAGCGCTTCAGCATTAACAGTCTGCAAGCTGTTGGCATCAGAACGAGAAAGGGTGGTCTCCGGGTCAAGCTCTCAGTCTCAAACCCTTCTAGCGAAGGGGTAGAACCGGCCCCGCCCTCTTAACTGGAGCTCCCAGAGCGGGTGCCTTAGAGGCTGAAGTGTCTGCCCGAGGCCACGGTGGGCGCTGAGTCCGCAGAGTGCAGCTTGGGAGCTTCAATCTCCAAAAGCTGAATCTGGGTTCTGTGACCTCGCGAGGTTCGGAGCGGTAGTGCAGCTGTCCGGGGTCGCCTAGTCAGTGTCCACCCGGCCCCGTGCCGAGAGAGGGGTGGAGCACGCTGGGGCATTGTTCCGAAGGAGCCCCAGATTTAGGCCTGGCGCTAAGGCAGGCCGGGTGACAGCTGCACTACGCAGCCTGGCGAGGGGCTCGAAACTCTTCCTCGCTATTTACTCCGCTGTATTTAAAGGTGACGGATGCCAGCACAACCCGGTCGCGCCCTCCCTCCCTCCATTCCTAGCACCGGAGGGGGTGGGCATGCTTGCTTGTTCACTACTGAAAACGCGGCGGACGAACTAGCAGACTGCGCCTGCGCGCCCCCTCCCCTCCCCTTGGCCCCGCCCCTCCCCTTGCCCCGCCCCATTACCCCTTACACCGCCGCTAGGGGTAGCGGCGGTGGCTGTGGCCTGAGAACTTGGCCGCTTCGAGGGCGCAGAAGCCGTTCCGAGTGGGAACTGGGGCTGGCACGAGGGTGGGAGAGCTGGCGGGGGAGGAGGGCGGCGCCGGAGGAGGGCGGCGCGTGGCTGACTCATCCCCCTGGAAAGGCAGACTGACAGACTCGAGCCCTCGCCGAGCCCGCCCGCCCCGCTCCTCTCTGCTGGGAGGCGCCCGCCCGCCCTCTCCCGGAGCTCTCCCGGCCCAACAGCCTCAGACAAAGTTTTTCTCCTCCGAGGGACCCGAGGCGCCGTGAGTCTCCTGGAAGGGAACGGGGATCGGAAGAGGAGGCGAGCGCCGTGCGGGCCCGGGCAGTGAATGGTTCCCAGCGCTTCGGCTGCCCATCTGGAGGACATCGGGGCGGGGTCGACTGAGCCCGGCTCCTTCTTCTAGCCTTAGCCTCGCTAGCAATCGCCCTCCGGGACTGCCGCGGGGGTCCCCGCGCCCCAACCCGCCATGTCCCGGCTGCTGCCGCTGCTAAGGAGCCGGACCAGGGGCAGCCTGAGGCCGGGCCCGGCCGCCGCCGCGCCTCGCCTGCCGTCTTGGTGCTGCTGCGGGCGGGGGCTGCTGGCGTTTGCGGTCCCTGGAAGCTCCCCCGGTGGCCCCCGGGGGCTGGGCACCCATCCCAAGAAGGAACCCATGGAGGCGCTGAACACGGCGCAGGGCGCGCGCGACTTCATCTACAGCCTGCACTCCACCGAGCGGAGCTGCCTGCTCAAGGAGCTGCACCGCTTCGAGTCCATTGCCATCGCCCAAGGTAAGGTGGGGGGGGGGGGGTGTGCATGCGATGAGTCTGGGGGCCTGGCGCCCTCCCCTGCCCCGCCTGCCCCGGGACGCCCTGCAGCCCCGGAAAGACCCGCAGCCCCTCGACTTGGGACCTCGTCGCTGCCCCACCCGCCAGCCCCCCTTGCCCTCCTGGCCCAGCGCCTAGGACGTCCGAGGGGGTAACTTTCCGCCTCCTGAGTGTCCCGGGGGCGGGTGGGGGGGGCAGGTAGGACTGGCGCCGATTGAGCCAGGCACCCAGGGCCAACGTTTGGCTGGCTCGTTCTTCCCCAACCTCAGAAGCCCGAGCCTCAGCCCTCATTGCCAACTGATACTGTTCTGATTTGCTGTGTGCCTCCCCTCCCCAGCCCAGTTGTCCCTAAGTCCTCGATGCTTTCTGGTGAACGTGCAGCTGTGCAGGTGGCATGCCTGCGTCCTCCGAAAGTGCTGCAGACCCGAGAGGCAGGAAGAAACTTTCTTGAATGGTTGTGAAACGAAGACGTATAGGTACCCCTAAGAAGGGATGTTGCTTCACAGACGGAGATGCTCTCCGCCGATTCTTTGCACACACATCTGGTTGTTTTAATTTGACCCGCCGAAAGAAACATTTCCCTGGGAAATGGAAAGACTGGATCAAACCAGCAACTGCAGATACATACTTGTAAGCCCACATAAGTTTGGTGCTTCACTAGTGAAACTCCAGTTTTTGTTGTTCCCCCAGAGGTTGAAAGAATGAAGTAAACAAGAAGGTTATTTTCTGGGAAACCGTGGCTCTACAAGAAAAAGCAAACTTCTGCTCAAAAGTAATCTGGAACGGTGAAAGCAAAGCTATTTTTAAGCCAACATGTTAAAATGGGATATTTTTAAAACCAGTGCAGAATGCTGCTGGTAGGTCAGAATTTGAGTCCAGCTGAAAAAGCTAAAAATTCATGAAATCAAAAGGATGGAAGGAGCAAAGGATAAAATCATTCAGTCTTAAAATATTTTTGCCTTTTAAATATGGTAACACAGAAAAAATACATTGTTACTATTTTATATTACATTCTGATGTGTTTGAAAATTACAAGTCTACTTTCCCCCTAAAGTTTGTAGGTACCATGCTGTAGATTCCTTAAGTTTAGAGCACATTGATTTGGAACATGGCATTTGATTTGTCCCAGGCTCTTGAAGGTTTTTCTTTGGCCTATGCACAGGATGGAGGAGTTACCGACCTCGTGTTAGCATGACTTATCTACACTATTGATATACTTCAGGAACTTTTTATTAGTTGTGCCTTTAACCACTGTTTTCCCCTCAGTTCAGGGAATTGTGGAGCAATTTACAGTACTTGATGATTTGAGACATCATCTGCCCACAGTGCTATTACAGGAAAAATGTAACATTGCAATGAATTCATTTATTAAATGTGTAATCATGTTATATGAAGTTCTAATAGAATGCTAGCATGTTTTATAAGCTGTGTGTGTGCTCAGAATGTGGTTTTTAAAGTATTCAGTTCTGAAAATGAGCTCCTTGAAAACCAATATAGACACTCATATGCCAAAGCATTAATTTTAGGAATCTTTCTCTGTGGGCAACGCTGTTTGAAAACACATTTGACTTCTTCTAAGTAATTTCTCAGAAATGCTGCCGTATCATTGTTGCAAGACTGGAGGGCCCTATTAATATAATTTTATGACAATTCTTGAAGAAGCACTCATGGTTAAATTTTATGTCATACCTATTGCACATTATAATAGAGATGCTACCTACATTTTCCAATGAAGATACTGATTTGAATTTAACATGGTTTTAAGTACGCTAGAAACTGACCTGTAAACTAGTCAGTGGAGATCAGTTAGGGTCCATTATACTTAATAAGTGTGTAAGTTATATGAGAGAGAAGTTAGTGATTTGTCTTTCTTCAAAAGAAACAGGCAAGGATACAGGAAGCAATGTGGTGGTCAGGTGCTTATCTCCTATTTATAGACTAAAGAACTTTGAAGTTTAAACCAACTATTTTTGTCAATGTTGATGACTAAATTATTGCCCTTTGACTTGAATGACATTTAAATTATGTGACGGCTTTACTTTTTAGGACAGTCTTAATGTTCCTTATTGTTTTCAATATCAACATATGTAGTTACTATGGAGATAACAGGACTCCTCACTAATAATTACCTTATTCATTAACTAAGGTGAAGAGGGTTTTATTATGTTGCAAATGAACACAACTCATTCCATTGCTGAAACCAACATTTCTTTTCCCAGACAAATGAAAAATTCCTGTCTTTCTTTTATTGTCGCTTTTTGAATGTTTCTAAATGCCCGACTCGTATTAAATGTGTATGCTTAGTGCATTTTCTAATGAAATAAGTTCTGATAAAAGGTCTTTTTCTTATTGTAGGCAATCTTATGTGTTCTTGGAAGGTCACTTATATGATGTAATGAAGTCTTTTGGATTTGGTGGAGTTTATGGAATGTTTCCATTGGAAACATTACAGGAAAACAGACCATTCATGCTTTGGTGTGTCAGTGGCGTCTACTGCTGAAGTTTGGTCCTTTCGCCCTTCTCTCTCTCACGTGTGCATCAGCAGGCATGGGGTACGGTCTGTGACAAGATAAGGCCTTAGAATCAACTTATATTAGATCAGGCCTGCATTGTGGGGTGTCTTGTCATGTGATTTTTAATTTACAAACTGATTTCCTCCAATCTTAAAAAGTTGACGATGTGCTCTCAACTGACTTGTTCAACCTGATCTTTTTCCAGCAACAGTTCATATTCTCCAGATAGGACATTGTTAGTTCATTGTTTTCACAAGTAGAGCTGGCAAGCAGTTGTCATTACAGTTGTCTTTGATTTTAGCCAAGATTTTCAAAACAAACTTTGTAAAAATCCCCCACTTCTGTCTCCCACCTTTTTGCAATTATAATTTCTAACTGTTTTTAAAAACTGGTCCCAGGACCGCTGTGGATGCCAAAATCTGTGGACGTTCAAGTCCCTTATGTAAATGGCGCACTATTTGCATATGACCTATGCACACCATCCCCATATACTTTAAATTCTCTCTAGATTAATTATAATATCTAATATAATATAATGCTTTGTAAATGGTTTTTATACTGTATTATTTAGGGAATAACGACAAGAACAAAAAGCCCGCACAACTTCAGTACAGGCTCAAACACCCTAGGCCTAACTAACTATGTTGTCAGCAACAAGTAACTTTTTTTCCTCCGAATATTTTTGATCTGTGGTTGGTCGAATGCCCAGATGCAGAACCCACGGACACAGAGGGCCAAACGTGTAGCAATTTGATTTTTGAAGGATGTGCGGTGGCATTGCTCACTGTACTAGTTACACATTGCAGTATTACAAATTGCCCTGTAATGGAACAGCTTAAAACAAATCTGTATTGTTTTATACTTTCCGGGGAACAGGAATCCTGGAACAGCTTCGTGAGATGTGTCTGATTCAGGGTCTCTCACGAAGCTGGGATGAAGCTTTCAGCTGGGGCTGCACCATTGGGAGTCCTGACTGGGGCCGGAGGATGCTTTCCTCAGAAAGGCTCGTTCACAGGGCTCTTGGCCGAAAGCCTCAGTTTCTTGCCGTGTGGGCCTCTCCCCAGGGCTGCGCCTGAGTGTTCCCAAGATTTGGCAGTCGGCTTTCCAGAACAAGTGATGACACAGTCGAAGCTGGAAGCCACCGTGTTTTATTACCCAATCTTAGGAGAGATAGTCCATCTCTCTTGCCCTGGCACATCGGAGGAGGGCACTGTACAAGGTGTAACACCAGGAGGCGGGAGTCACTGGGGGGACGTCTTAGGGGCTGACTTCCACGCTTATCAAAGGTGTTGTGATTAATGTTTATTGCAGCATTACATAGAGAGTAAGAGTTGGCCTTTGGGGAGACACAATAGAAGATTTGATTTGGAAAGTAGGAGCTTCCTAGGTAACATTTTTGTTAAATGTGTGCTTAACGTATTTTAAAAGTGGGATTCTTTTTACATATAACAAATAAAATGTATTGATGTGAACAGAGCAGTTTTTTAAATCAGTGTTGGATCTTAATCAGTTTGCATTTTTTCCTTTTTCATTGTCTAAGTGGTAATTGTATACATTTAGGTTTGCTTTTTACCATTTACCTTACATCCTAATAGACACCTCATCTAATTTTAAACTGTCATCTTGTAGTTGTCACCTTTTGTGATGATTTAAGGTAGGATGAGGAGCTTTGTTTTGAGAACTTCCATACAGCATACGGGGCCTTTGTCAAAGTGACAGGCTGGAAGAGACCAAGCTGACATTAAAGTGGATACCTGGAACGCTTAACAACAAGACGTTTCATGGAGTTCAGATCCACTAGGAATTTTGGACTCTTCAGGGGAGTATCTCCATTTTTCTCGCCCTGTTGTTCAGGATTATGTGAGAAAGTAGCTGCTGTGTTAAGCTATTAACTATTAACCTCTGGGACGAATTGGAGATCATTTCGGCTTTTGCTCAAAGAGAGTAAGAAACATTTCCTACTCCCAGCTAAGATAGATAGGGAAAGATGTTTCAGGGCCTCGGTTGAAATAGTGAAGAAGGAATAAGGAACGTGTAGCCCCAGCTGGACGCAGCAGGAGGCGGGGAGCCGGGATGAGGCCAGGCAGTGAGAACTGAGTCAGGGGGAGAGAGATATCTGATAAGCTGAGAGCTTCTGTGTCTTGTGCCGAGATGTGTTAAATGAAGCTTTGCTATGACCAATTATTTTACCAGAATAGAAAGAAACTAATTATATCAGTATACTTCAACAAGCTTAATTCTGGATACTTCAGAGTTACTGGGCATATTGCAGTGGCCCTTGTTCCTAGGGATTACTCCCAGTAGAGAACAGGTAACACAAAAAAGATTTTTTTTCCATTATAAAATGGTTATACGCTGTTTAACAATCTTTAATAGTCATTTACGTATAACTTAATATCTGGAGCTATGGTGTGATTTAAAATATCTATTGTATCTCTTGATTTTGTGGAC